TGACAGTTCCCCATGGCATGGAGCCACAGCTCCCCATGGCGTGGGGTGACAGCTCCCCATGGCATGGGGTGACAGCTCCCCGTGGTGTGGGGCGACAGCACCCCATGGCATGGAGCCGCACCTCCCCATGGCATGGGATGACAGGTCCCCATGGTATGGGGCGACAGCTCCCCATGGCGTGGGGCGACACCTCCCCATGGCATGGAGCCCAGCTCCCCATTGTGTGGGGTTACAGCTCCCCATAGTGTGAGGTGACAGCTCCCCATGGCATGGGGTGACAGCGCCCCGTGGTGTGGGGCAACAGCTCCGCATGGCATGGAGCCACAGCTCCCCATGGCATGGGGTGACAGCTCCCCATGGCGTGGGGCGGCACATCCCCATGGTGTGGAGCCCAGCTCCCCATGGTGTGGGGTGACAGCTCCCTGTGGCATGGAGCCCAGCTCCCCATGATATGGGCCAACACCTCCCCTTGGCATGGGGCTACAGCTCCCCATGGTGTGGGTTGACACCTCCTCATGGCATATAGAGCCGCAGCTCCCCATAGCGTGAGGTGACAGCACCCCATGGCATGGAGCCCAGCTCCCCATGGTGTGGGGCAACAGCTCCCCATGGCATGGAGCCACAGCTCCCTATGGCATGGGGTGGCAGGTCCCCATAGCATGAGGTGACAGCACCCCATGGCGTGGGGTGACAGCTCCCCATGGCATGGGGTGACAGCTCCCCGTGGTGTGGGGCGACAGCACCCCATGGCATGGAGCCGCACCTCCCCATGGCATGGGCGCCCCCCCCGATGGCGTGGGATGACAGGTCCCCATGGTATGGGGCGACAGCTCCCCATGGCGTGGGGCGACACCTCCCCATGGCATGGAGCCCAGCTCCCCATTGTGTGGGGTTACAGCTCCCCATAGTGTGAGGTGACAGCTCCCCATGGCATGGGGTGACAGCGCCCCGTGGTGTGGGGCAACAGCTCCGCATGGCATGGAGCCACAGCTCCCCATGGCATGGGGTGACAGCTCCCCATGGCGTGGGGCGGCACATCCCCATGGTGTGGAGCCCAGCTCCCCATGGCGTGGGGTGACAGCTCCCTGTGGCATGGAGCCCAGCTCCCCATGATATGGGCCAACACCTCCCCTTGGCATGGGGCTACAGCTCCCCATGGTGTGGAGCCCAGCTCCCCATGGCATGGGGCACTACCTCCCCATGGTGCAGCCCCCCAGCTCCCCATGATATGGGGTGACAGCTCCCCAGAGCGTGGGGCCCAGCTCTGCACAACGTGGGGTACATCTGCAGGTGAGAGAGGGGCCTACTCCACGCCCTGTGGGTCCAGCTCCCCATGTGCGGGGCGCAGCCCACAGGGGAAGCATTGCAGGGTCCCTCTCTCCATGGGACCACGCAGCTCGGCGAGCACCCATGCTTTCCAAAGCGAAGCAAACAGGCTTCCCCAGCAGCAGATCGGGTTTGCTGTGACCGGATTTTTCTCTGTTCTTCCAATCTCCTGGTGACTGCAGAAAAGGCTGCTCAGTTTCCAGGTTCACATGTGCAAAACTAAGCGTTGTCTGAAGTGACAGTTCATCAGTCTAGTTTCCTGTGAATGTCTCTCGGAAAGAGATGTGCTTTATTAAAGTGATCAGCGGCCTCTGAGGCCTCCAAAAAATTGCAGTATATGTGAAATAAGACTGAGCCATTCTTCTCTGAACAATTGCATTTAATCAAAAAAGCCCAGAAACTGCATCGTTAGTATACTCTATTTATAGGAATGCAAAGACAGAAGATGTACGGTTTGAAGCTACATCTGTAAATGATCATATATATACTGCAGTATAATAATAACAACATGTGACAGCAAGTAATCACCTCACAACAGTACACATGAGTGATTAGACTTACAAAGAAAATATTTACAAACTGACCTTAACAAAACAACGTTGTGTGCATACAAAACGAAATTTGCAATAAAACTGAAGATACATTTAAGGCAGACCAGCAATACACTGAAATAATTAAGGCTGTGGAATTACTTTGCACCTTGAAAATGCTGAGCTGTTAGCAATACTGTTTCTTTTTTCCTCCTTCAACTGATTGTTGCAAAGATTGAAAAGCATCAATATATTCCGACTGCTTGCTCTTATCTCAGGAAATAAGTCCGAGATTTAATTTTTTTTGCACTTCCTATTGCATTTGCCTTCCAAAAGTTATCAGCAAATTGATTTCAGTGGCAGAGCAATGCTAAACAGTTTGTTAGGAAGAGAAGTAAAAGCACCAGCATCAGAAGTTGGACATGTAGGTGAAATATGGCTTGAGTAGAGATGCTCTTTATTCACTAGCTTCATAATATAGAATACAGTTACAGCAAATATTCAGCATCCTGACGCTACGGTAACACTCACCACTATACAGATCCCAAAACAGGAATTCATCACTTGATGGCAGTGTGCAATCAGCCTAGTAAAGTGGGATTTGATTTTGTTTCCTTGGGAAAGCACCATTTTCTGATGGAACGTGAAAGAATGAGCTGGAAAATCAATGCACGCCCTGTGCTACAGAAGAATCTAGCTCTGCAGGGAAAAGAACAGAAACAAGCCCAGGTGGTTATCCTGGGTGCACGTTAATTATTTGTTAGACCTTTGTATATACACACTAGCCTTTACATTGTCTCTGAAGTTTATATTAGCTGAGGTCACTTGATACAGCTCTCATTGCCAGGGCATTAAAGTATGGTTCTATATAGTCAAGCCATACTGTGCGGTTCTGCATTTAGTCTCTAAAGCCTTTATTCATGATGTACGTAGCAAAGGCCTAATATTATCTTCAGAAATGCTAATGAACTCCACTGAAACCACAGGATTTGTAAAGGTCAGCTGAGGGCACCAATTTTGTCTCAGCATTAACTTAGTTTAAAAGGAAAATGCTTTTAGAGATAAACGTCACTGAGAAAAATTAAAGTTATTTAAAATTAAAAGAAGGCAGTAAGACCAAGCAAGACTCATTGGTAAGAGTAGGAAGAGGTAAGTTTTATACATGAAAAGCCTGCATTGCTTTAAAGTATTAAAATCTAAAACTCCTGGTTGGATGCTTTTCCTCCTGACTGCTTACTCCGGATGGTAACGTGTTTAATGGGTTTGCTGTGGGGACATGGGAATTTGCCCATGTGGCAACACTCGGTTGGATGGCTGATGAGACCTGACACGCTTGCACGGACAATCACATTTCCTATTTGATGGATAAGAGCAAAACTGCCTGTCCTGGCCGCTCCAAGTAGAGAGGAGAGAAAGGCAAGTTCGTTTCTGGTTGCCACGTGCGCTCTCCAAATGCAGAGAGCACCGTACGGTCCCACGTGCTCCAGGCTCTGTTTTGCTAACTTTGTCGCTGCCTGCTTTCCTGTAGGCCTGCCACGAAGCCAGATGCCAGGGTGACGGCGCGAATAAGCGTACTTTGACTCCGCTAGCAAGGCAAGGCGCAGAGCGAAGATGCCTGGAGGCCGCAGCCGTGCACGCAGAGAGCGCGTCTGCCCCGAGCCTGTGCTGCTGCCCCGCTGATACTACTGTCAGCCCTTCTAGCTGGCCTGAAACGGCTGCAGAAGCTGCAAGGTACCGCTACCATCACACCTTCGCTTTGCCGGACTAGGAATACCCTGAGTGTTAAAGCTGCAGGCTGAAAGCTTCCCCTCAGAGTCAGCTGCTCTCTGGGGGGCTTTTTAATGGCCTAGCGGAGTTTCATGAGAAATTGTATTTCCCTG